GCTCATCACACTATCAGGGAGAAGCATAATGATAGAGCCAGTTTCATTTCAGTATTTTCAGTGAGTCATCTACAGCGTTTCTATTATCATTCAGCCGAATTCGGGGGATTTTGGCTGATGTCCTTAAAGAGATTTATTCAGTAGCTTGCTATAAGTTCTGCTGAAGCAGTCTGTCATAATCCTCTTAAGTGTGTGGGTGTGTGTGTATAATGAACACAAAGCAAATAAGTAGCGTAAGGAGTGTGGAGAACTACGCTGGGAATAAGTTCTCTATGTCAGGAGAGGCCGTCATGACAGAGCGCAAAGTAGTTTAAATAGGAAACTGATTTACTATGGAGGATATTTGTTATAAAAAAGCTCATCACATTCTTGGTGTCAGGTGTTCAGAAGGTTTTTGTGAAACAGTCCAGCCTTTGTTTCCATTATCTGTATATGAAAGGTCTGTCAGCTGACGGCAGCCTTATCTGTATCTCGGTTTAAACCGGGTCTTCCGATGGCTCTGAAGATGTTTCTTTTATGGGCTGCCGCAGTGCCTTAAAGAGACGATCATACCCATCAGATTGTCACAATGGCAAACTATTAAATCTTCTTTATTGAAAAGTGAAATTGTACTCAAAGTTTTCTGCTTATCTGGAACCGGGTCGTAGGGCAGCAGTCTCAGCAGAGACTTCCAGATTTCCCACTCAATTCAGTTTATTTCTACAGCTCCAATTCACAACACATGTCATCTCAAGGCACTTTAAAGTTCTCCAGATCATAAAGTCAAATTGATTCAAAGTTTTCTATCTAAGAAAAACCAGTCGATTGCATCGACTCATTGACTCGAAGGCAATCCCTCACACTAAGCATGCTTGTAGCAACAGTGGAGAGGAAACACTTCTTTTAACAGGAAGAAACCTCCAGCAGAACCAGGCTCAGTTTGAGCAGCCATCTTTCCTAAGGACGAGTGTGGTTCAAAGAGACAGGCACCAAAACCAGCTCCTCAGGGGAAACCCCAAGGTGCTCCAGGGCTGTCAACAGACATTATCCCCATCAGCCTGTCCTTGGCTTCCTCCTCCCGGTCGGATATGTCTGGAACACCTCCAGAGGGTGACATCCAGAGGACATCCAAAGCAGATATCTCAGCAACCTCAGCCTGCTCCTCTAGATGAAGAGGAGAAGCATCTCTAAGTTAGCCTCTCCTGGATGACAGAGCTCTTCCAATCTCTAAAGCCGCTTTCCCACTGAAAACCCAGGTTTTTCAACAATCAACTATTGGCTCTTTTCCCATTTGGTTGAATAGCCGAGTCTGGCCCTCTGCTGGCAAGGCTTGTGGCCACTGTCCCCCCAGCACTGCATGTCTGACACCATCACGCTGGGTGAGCGTTCAGGCTGTCGACACTGCAACGGAAATTAGGGAAGTAAATAATGGAGAGCAGCATGGACAGGAACAGGGCGTAGTTAGTATTCTTTATTATTTTGTTCTTTTACCTTTCCAAATCCCTTTTACTAGCACTGCTCCATGTTTACTGAATATAAACAGAGTTGTTTCGGCTTGTTAGATCAGAAGCGACTGTAAGTTGCGTTCATTGTTGTAAAGTTATTTAGCGGGTAAGCTAAATAAGAGGTAAGAGAACTCTGATGTTCTCACAGCATAACGATCGGAGCCGAGGGGATTTTAATGGGCGTTGCTTTCCGAGCCGTTTGAGTCTCTGAGCTGTTCCCACTTAGCCTGGGTGCCATTCCGAACTTAGTCCCGCCCACAACGTTTGAGGTCGGGAAGTTCGGTCTGGCATTGCTCAGTAGTAGCGCGAGTATGCTCGCACAATATCTGGTGGGCCAATCAAATTGTCAGGGCAGGCTTTATACAATGATGGACAGATGATCAACAGTAACGTAATCAACCACGTCACAAAGCACGCTTGGGTGACAACAACAATGGCTGCCGCTGGAGAGTTGAGGTGTGTAAATTCTGCTATTAGGTCTATTCTAGAAGATATCGACAGCAAAAAAATTTTAAAAGAGGAACAGAGAAACGCGATCAAGGCTCATCTTCTTATTCTAGGCGTGCAACTGCACGCTTTGATTTTTGTTGACAACAACTGTGCCTCGCTTAACATACGTCACGCACTCCGTTGCTCTTATTGGTTGTAGGTCTATCCAATTGAGTGCAGAGGCATTTTTTTTTACTGGTTCGTTCGAAACACGCCCTATAATCACAGCTCTATGGAGCAGTATCAGACTCATATTCTGACTAGAATTGAATAGGACTACGTCAGGCTAGTTCCCACTGCCACTAAAAGCAGATTGTTCCCGGGTTTAAACGGGTTTGTCTGCCAGTATGAAAGGGAGATTGCAGCCACCCTAAAGAGGCAGCTTATTTTAGCCACTTGTTTCCAGGATCTTGTTCTTTAGGTCATGATCACGATTTCATGACCATAGGTAAGGGTAGGAATGTAGACCGACTGGTAAATCCAGAGCCCTGTCTTTTGACTCCACATCAGGCTGGTGCAGCATCCGCATTAAAGTGGGAGCCGTGGCGAGCTGATGCTTGATTTAAATCCTCGGATCAATCAATCACAATCACATGATTGGTCAATTCAATATCTGAAAAATTCACCACATCAACAAATTACTGCAACAAAACTGTATTCCAATCCTAGATGAGATGCTCCAGTGGCTGCATGTTGGCGCAGAACTCTTCATAAAATGAAGAACATCATAGACAACCCGGAAAATCCTCATCAGACATGGCATCTTCAGTCAGAGGCTCTCCAGTTTTGCTGTTGGGCTTTCCGCCTGCAGCCATCAACATCTTGATGAATAGTTCAAGAAACCCTTGTGATTTGAGTTACAGCAGCATTTCATTAAAATTCGCAGCAGCAAAAGCATATAGAGACTGAAATGGTTTCCTGTTCCTTGCAGGATTGCTCAAGCTTAGTCAGATGGATAGTTTGTGAAAGTCAGTTTTCAAAATTAGACAGTATCAAGTAGGGCTGGGTATTGTTAAAAAAATTTCGGTTCCGGTACCGATACCTTCACTTCGATACCGGTTCCTGAACGATACTTTTTTCGATACCAGTTTTATAATATCAATTCGAAAAAAAAGAAAATTACACAACATAAAAAAGTACAAATCTTGAGTTTTATTTTAAGCTCTGTTTTTCCATTTACATTTTTCCTCTTACATAAAAAAATTAATAATTCAGTGTCTAATATTCACTGTTACATTGTGAGGACCTTTTTACTTAGCAGTTTTCCTTTAGAAAAATTACCATGTCTGACAAACAAGCCCGTTGAATGGGATCCTACTGACAGCGCACCGCTGGTATTGGGGGGGTCTGAGCGGCTCCGACAGAAATATTGAAGGCAGGATGAACTGACTGCACTGATTACGTTTTCAGGTGGATTTTCCCACTTAAAAACATAATAAAACTACTTTATTCCCACTGATCACAGCAAATATAGCTGCAAGGCAAATAAAGGATAGAGTAGCTCCGCCCAACGCGCGTCTGACCCACTTTGCGACCGCGCAGCCAGAGCAGCAAAGCTTCTTCAGCAGCGCGTCAGAAGCTGGTACAAGCAGCAAAAATGAAGCAGCAGACGAGATTTTGCTGCTCTTGCTGCGTCCAGTTTGAAAGCAGCATGATTCACTCCGCTCTGGCTTTGCTCTGCCCACGGGCTGCTGAGAGGAGGATGGTCGCGCTGGCTGCGGTCCGCTCTTCTTGCAGTCAAACACAGAGCGACTTTCTGCTCTTAAATTATTTCCGTGCACGATGTATTGCATTGTGCACTATTAGCATCAGTCTTAATAAAGTGAAGCCGCACTTTTGACCTGGGGGGCATTTTAAAGGGGTTCCGCGACGCTGCAACCAGTTCACAAAAGATACACATGAACCCTGGCTGTAGGCGTGACCACCTGTGTATTTTTCCTGGATGACGCAATCACCTTAAGTGTTCCAGCCAATCACCGAAACTTGGTACCGAAAGACGAGGCATGTTTCGATACTCTGTAGAACCGAAGCATTTCGGTCGGTACCATAAAAGTACCGAAGTTCGGTACCCAGCCCTAGTATCAAGCTACATTCATCTTCTTTCTAACTCTGGTCATCATTCCATGCATTGCTCTGGAAGGCACCAGTGAAGGGGGATTCACAATATAGGAATATTGGCCGATATCTGATATGCAGATTTTGCAACTCAACTGGCCAACAATCGATACTGATGATATACTTACTGATAGAGTTTTGGCCAAATCCTCCAGCTCTATGCACTAGTGAGAGTAAATACCAGGGTTAGGCAAAAATACAGCCGCTAAATGGATGTAAGTCAGTGTAAAGTCTTAATATGGATAGAGATACAAATGTGTCTGTGTGTGTTTGGGTATTTGTGTTTCTCACTAGACTTAAAAAGTCATAGGATTTTTGTCTGCGACAGAATCAACTGTTGCTTATCTTTTGTGTTGTTATTCTGCATTCTAGTCATTGCAGCTGTTACAATAATTTTCATCCATATTTTATGTTCGAGTTGAACCTGGTGAATCCTGTCAGTAAAGCTCTGTATTTGTGTGATATATGTGACCTTTCCTGAACAGCTTCAAAGTGACATTAAAACACCTTTGCTTTCCATTAAGGACAGTAAAGTTGTCAGGTTACTGTCTCTATTTATGTTTCTAAAAAGATCGATAGTATGAGGAAGTCTGGCCACCTTTTCCTGAGGTCATGATAGCCCCACTTACTTCTATAGTTCCAGGCTTTTAAAAGCTTGTTTGCAGTTCTGACTTTGTTTTAAAGGCTGTGCTCAATTTAAGAAAAGCTACACTTCCTCTTTAGGAACGTTGGTAACACTTTAGTACTTAGGTAACTTTTCATTGCCTCGTCTGTTAATATTGAGGACACCTCATCTTCTTTAAGGTGTACATATTATAAATGATCATTCTGCAAAGTTTTTTCTGGAGGGATGATGCAGTATGCAAGACAAAGACTCACATGTTTTTTATTGTTGTCATTTAAAACCTGCAGAATGCGTGAGGACATGTCCACTATGGTTTGTGTGAAGGAGGAGGAGGACCCAGGGGAGAAACTGTCCCAGGATGAGATCATCTCCCGGACCAAGCAGGTGATCCAGGGGCTGGAAGCTCTAAAACAAGAACATCATTCCATCCTGGAAGGCCTGCTGGGCACACTGCGCTGCCTGAAGCAGGATGAGGAAGGCGTCCTGGTGGAGGAGAAGTCTCATATGATCCGGAAGTCCCTGGAGATGCTGGAACTTGGTCTGAGTGAAGCTCAGGTATGAGCGTTTTAAGCTTTAGCTTCACTGATACCTTTTGAAATTCAGAGTTTTGTTATTTCAAATTACAAAAGTTTTAATACAATTTAGTTACATCAAAAGTAAGGATGTTTATTAGCTTTCCTTAGTGAGTTAAGGATAGAAATAAGTAATTTTAGTGCCATAATTCTGTTATTTATGGACATCCGGATGTATATCGATTTGCATATGCGCAGGATGGATCGTGCTTCTACGACTGATGGGGTAGTGACTTGCTTTTCATTAACGGGGAGATACAGTGTTTTTTTGTTTTTGTTTGAATGTGTCAACATTTTGTAAAGCATTAAAGGATATGAATATAAGGTGCTCTGTTTGTAACAACAATAACAGAGTTTGGTCTGTTTGGACGCTGTAGACTACAGGAAGCACAGGTGCAGCTTAAATACAGATATTTTTGGGTGAAACTGAATAAATATGAGAAGTGAAGAAAAGAAGGAGAAGTTTAAACTTTTTTTAGCTACAGATGCTTGTAATTTCTCTCTCTGAGTCAGAAATGTTCTGTTGTTGGTTTAATCTCCAAGTACCGTAATCAGATACAAATACCTAGCATGCAGAGTATGCAGACTCCAGTTGTCACTAATGTGTTTGTGCAGCAAAAATACAACAAACACAACATTTGTTTTATTATCCTTTTTTTCAATTCTTTATTTTTGAAACCTTTAGAAAGTTACATGAAATGAAATTTCACAATTACAGTCTGTGATCAATTCCAATATTCTTTTGTTTTTTAATTAAAATAATAATAAAGAAAAGGTGAAAAAAAACCCTGAACAAAAAGAACAAGAATAGGGCAATCGAGGGGGTCCCATTCCAAAAGACATTACACGTATGTTAGTTATATTTTTCATTTGTAGTACGAGTTGTTTTAATTGAAAGTGGAAAATATCTTATTTTTGTACACCGTCTCACAGACTGATGTGCATCATGAGATTCTTCAGATAATCCTGATTATTCGAGGATTTTAAAAGATTGTTTCGTCAAGGATGAGTGGAAACATTGTGATCAGGACATTCTGAGTTCAACTGTTACAGACAAGAAATATGTTGTTTCTTTCCTTGAATTTTTTCACAGGCACATTGATTACCTTGGACACGTTACATTCTTTGTCTTTAACATCTCTCTGCTTAGGTGATGATGGCACTGTCAAGCCATCTGAGCTCTATTGAATCAGAGAAGCAAAAGCTCCGTGCTCAGGTTCGCCGCCTCTGCCAGGAGAACCAGTGGTTGAGGGACGAGCTAGCTGGAACACAGCAGAAACTGCAGAAGAGCGAGCAGAGTGTGGCCCAGCTCGAGGAAGAGAAGAAACACTTAGAGTTCATGAACCAGCTAAAAAAGTATGATGAGGACCTTTACCCCTCAGTGAGTATGCAGCTCATCCTCTGTGGAAGGCGTAAAACTGATGCCTTTCCGGGGAATCATACCTCTGTTATGGGATCACTATTCTACTAGTAATTCTGTTAACCAGACCAACCTTGTTTCTAAGCCAAAACAAGGCTTTTTTTGTTCCACTTTATAAAGCCTTGAACTCAATTCTGTTTCTGACATTTTGAATTGAAAAAGCTTCCTGGACGGGAAGCAAAATGTCTTCAAACTTGGAAACAAAGTCAAGTGGATTGTTTTTCAACTTTTTTGGAATGCTAACCACACATTAGCATAAACAAGTGTCTCACTTTACAAGAACATTTATTGCAAACAGTGAAACAAAAAATTAAGTCTCTTTTAGCAATTTAAATTTAAATGCCAAAAGCAGCTGATGGGAAGTATGCAGCTATAAATGGTTGAAGTTTGTTTAACGTAAACTGTAAAAGCCACAATAGTCAGACCTTTAGAAGACAGAACACCCTTATAAAAATGTTTGTAAGCCAATTATTAGCTGATGAAGATTCTCAGTCATCCAGGTCATAGTCTCCTAGTCATTCCGTAAAAGTTCAAAAAATATCCACTGGACTTGGTCCAGTCCAGTGGATATTTTTTGAACTTTTACTGAAACCCAATTATTAGCTGGATGTGAACTTTTTTCAAAAGCTTCCATCATTCTAATAAATTGTTCTGAAGTTATGGCAATAAATTATGCTTGTTGGTATATTTTCAAACCCCACGGATATTTCATGAGCTCTAAAGTTCCCTTACATGATTGTATAGATCAGGGGTGGCTATTCCAGTTCCTGCAACAGTATGCAACAGTATGCTGCAACTTTTGGATCAATCCTTGGTCCACCAACACTCCTGAATCATGTGAACCAATGGGACATTTAAGGCTACGTTTACACTGCAGGCCTTAATGCTCAATTTCGATTTTTTTCTTTTTGTGAAATCGATTTTTTTGCGTTGCCATTCACATTTCCAAATAAATGCAACTTGTATGTGATCTCCTGTGTGAACTGTATTAATACAACTTAAGCGTCCCACATGCGCATTAGAGAACGTAATGACATCACAAGCAAGCGTACTCTGTGTTTACAAAACATGGATGGTAGTGCTGGAGAACATCTAGCGATCTTACCCAACCTTAGAAACATAATGTTTTCAATATGGGTAAACATAAATATTACTCTCCGGATCATCATCTGCTTGGTTGTTGTTTTTCTTGCTGCTTCTTCATAGCAAGACCCAGAATAGTGACCTCTGTCGGGTATTAATGGCGTACAGGTTGGGTGAATGCGACCTGGCCGTTCAGACACAGGTTGCATTGAAAAGATCAGATTCGTATCGGATTCAGGACCACATAGCCAAGCGGCCTGAGTCGCATAGGAAAAAATGGCATCTGAGTTGTTCAGACTGTCATTAAAAATTATAAGATACAGGTTGCATATGGGCAAAAAAATCGGTTCTTGGTCAGGCTGCTGTGTGAACATAGCCTAAAAGTTGCAGGATACTGGCCCTCAGGAGCTTGAATTGCCCACCACTGGTATAGATGGTCTCTTCCATCTATGATTGTGGAGCAGGGCAAACAAAGAAGTACATGATAAATTCTTAAATGGTATTTTGATATTTGTTATTCTAGTTTGTGTCAAAAGGTTAAATTCTACATTTGCAGCAATATTCCATAATAAGATTTTTCATGTATGAATGTTTAGAGTCCTGAGTGCAGATTAGCCACAATGAAGGTTGACTTTAAAACGTCTCTTCTTGTCTCCTGTACTTCTAGTAAATTGTCTTTTTTTCATCTTCATCCTATCAGGAAGAGAAAGAGTCTGACTCCAGTAAAGAGACCCTGGATGACCTCTTTCCAGACGACCAGGATGACCAAGCTCCAGGCAGTAAGTCCTCCTTCTTCTTTGATCTACTCCTTATGTTAACATAGTTTCTTACTAACTACATTCTAGGCGTTAAAGTTTGTTGCAAGCTGCTTAGCGGACAAAGTTTTCCCCAGGTCTCTTACTGACATGGGAATATTGTCGCTGGATATTGTAGTGAATGACGATAACGCTAAAAATCAGGTTTATCGCCCAAAGCCTACTCTCAGCATATTGTTTGGGTGCTTTTACTTCAATTGGTTAAATCTGTCTTGACATGTGAACCGTGTCAGAGCGAACTTTGAAAATTATGTTTGTGTCTTCTTTTTCATTTGGGGAAAAGCCAAACCAGTTTCATGTAATGGAAGTACAGTGAACCGTTGTTTTTCGCGGGGATTACTTTCCCAAAGGAACCCGTGATAGGCAAAATCTGTGAAGTAGTGACCTTTTCTTTTTATTATTAATTTCAATTCAGTTTATTTATTTAGCGCCAATTCACAGCACATGTAATCTTAAAGCACTTTACATTTCAGTTTTCTATCTGAGGAAAAGCAGTTGATTGCATCGACTCAATGACTCGAAGGCAATCCCTCACACTAAGTATGCTTGTAGCGACAGTGGAGAGGAAAAACTCCCTTTTAACCAGAAAAGTTGTTCAAGCTTGTATCCCTCTTCCTATGTGATCGCTTTAAATGTATTGTTCACGAATGCTTCTGCTCGAGCGGTATTCGTAGAAGCGGTCTCTCCGTGCAGAGAAGCATTTTTGATTCCAAAGTGTTTCTTAAACTTTTCAAACCAGCCCTTGCTAGAATTAAATGCACTTGATACAAACAGCAAACATCCCTGTCATTAACATCATCACAGTTTGATACAGTGTTCTAGCATTTGTGCAGATAACGTTTCTATCCAGCGTAATTTTCTTTTTTCTGCAGTCATTAATCCTCAAAGCTAATGCAGACTTCATCCTTACCATGGTTTTGTTGTGGACAGTTGCAACCCTTTTTGCATCCTTATTAAAACTTACTGCTGCTGTTGTCCTCATGTTATTTTCCTCCTTCTTTATTGAATAAACAGAAGATTTATTAATTCTGTAATGGCGACCTTCAGCCACATAGGTTCTACTCTCCTTTAGCATGTCCAGAATTGTAACTTTTTCTGCAATAGTTAGCATCTTCCTCTGTCTTTTGGGCGCGGCCGCAAACTGCCTTTGTCCGTGCAGAATGTTTTGTCGAAATTATGGGTTTTGGAGAAAATTTGCAAATCTAAATTTGGCAAGCTCCTTTACATACATGTATATTAAAATATTAAACTGTAACGTAACCGTAACGTTTGGCCTTCAGCCATGCCTCTCCATTTGGCAACCACTACACAAATAAACAAGGATACTGGTGAGAAAGTGTCACTACCCATTGTCCGCTACGATTGGTCGGTCAGTTTGACCATGTCGTGCGTCTGCTGCATTGGTGGATTAGCATAGAACTACAATTTATAGAATCTGAGCCAATTTTTTTAACATTCTCCTCACTTTGGCTTTTTAATAATAAATAACGTCCATGCAGACCAAATACGTCTGTGCCTTTCAATTTAGAGGAAAGCCTGCCCCCAGAGGTAAACAGAATCTGTCAAATGCTGTTTGAAAAGAAGGTGGTTGGTAAAACTTAATCTGAAAGCAGAAGAAAAAATGTAAATATAAAATATGTTACATTTTTTTTAAATTGGTGAAATACTAAAAAATAATATTTTGAAATAAATTTGAAGACACAGCAGTTAATTCTTTTTTCAAAGTTTCTAGATTCTTTCAAATTTCAATGTACAAAATGTGTTCTTTGATTGTAACAATAATAAAAAACAAATCCCACCATATATATATGTTTACATTAGATTTATTTATTTGACTGAAAATTATCTTTGTAATTTAAAGGATTGATATCCATGAATATTATATTTATATATTATATATATAAACTGATGAAGAAGGGATGTTTAGAAAATGCAAAATGCTTTTTGAGATTGATTAGAATCCCATATTTAAAGGGAAGAAATATGCATTTATCTTTTGACGGAAATAAATGCAATGCATTTTACACTAGAACATGTAGAGATACCTGCTTGTATTCTTGAATTTCTAACCATAAATTAGAAAGAATACCCTTTATCCATCTCGTTGCTTCCTGTTCTTAAAACAAATAAATTTAATAATGTAATGTATTGTGTAATGTATTGTAATATATTGTGAATTCTAAATTAACTGCATACAATATGAAAAACCTAGCTTAATGTGGAGAGGTATGAAGAAAATAAAATGTTCTCTTCACTGCAATTAACCTCTTTTCAGGGACATATATCCCTAGGCTGCCTGTGCTTGTATATGATGTATGTGAGAGAAGATCATTGTTAGAGAAGATTAGCTTTAGCTCTGCCCTTTGTTCAGACAGCCTGACTAGCTTTTGGGGTTTTATTAAATTGGTGTCAGCAGAATTGGAGTAATTGTGTTGACAGCCCTGTTTCCATTTGAATCAGCTTGGGGCTTAAAAGGCAACCCTTGAATGCAACCAAAACGAAAGGACTGTTTAATTCAGTTTATCTATATAGCGCCAATTCACAACACACGTCATCTCAAGGAACATTAAAATCCAACCAGATCATACAGTGAAATTGATTCAAAGTTTTCTTTCTAAGGAAAACCAGCTGATTGCATCGACTCATTGACTCAAAGGCAATCCCTCACACCAAACATGCTTATAGCGACAGTGGAGAGGGAAACTCCCTTTTTAAAAGGAAGAATCCTCCAGCTGAACCAGGCTAAGTGTGAGCGGCCATCTGCCGAGGCCGACTGGGGTTCAAGAAGACAGAAGCAGACATAAGGAAATAAGAAAAGATACTGTTAAGATGCAGCAGATTGTTATTTTTTTTCCAAACGTGCTCCCTCTCCAGGTTTTTGGTAGCCTTTAACTTCAAATTGATTAGATAGGTAGAGTTTAAAACCTGCCACACCTTTATACCTAAGTATTTTCTCATCATAAAAGTAATTTTAAACCTGCAGTTGGTGGCTTTACCTTGTTTCATTGAGCCTTCAGAGGTAAAGTGTGTTTTGTTAAAGTTTTTGATGATGATGGTGCTCACAGAATCCACGTCACAAAACTAGACATTTATTTCTTTTGTTTTCTTCCTTGTGTGTTTAGTTCAACAAGCTCATGGCAGTGCTGCAGCAGCAGCTGCCCAGCAGGGAGGTTATGAGATCCCAGCTCGTCTACGGACCCTTCATAACCTGGTGATCCAGTATGCCTCCCAGGGCAGGTACGAGGTGGCTGTTCCCCTCTGCAAACAGGCTCTGGAAGATCTGGAGAAGACCTCAGGACACGACCATCCAGATGTGGCCACCATGCTGAACATCCTGGCTCTGGTTTACAGGTGAGTGCACCCCATTTCCTGGATCATTCAAAAGGCATAACAGCAGAGTTCAGGACACATTTTCGCTCCTGGAATAAGAATATTGATGTTTTCTTTTGAAAAAATATTTTTAAGCCTTCCTAAATCAAATCTATGAATAATAAATCTGATAGAACATTGGCTTTAGTACTACAGAGAGTTTATTGATTATGAAAAATCAGTTGCTTTTTGGTGTCATTTTTGTAAACTCAGAAAAAAAGATCTGCGCCTTAACTGTGCTGCCATCTCCCTCGTCTTACAAAAATCCCCTCTCAAAATGTTTAGATTTTCAGATTGCGAAATAAGTTTACCCACTGGTATCAATAAAGTTACCTTGTTACCTGGTGGTTGCCCACATTTTCAGGAAGTCACCCTGGAGCCTTTTGCTGCGTGACATCTTGCCATCTCTTAAATTTGGGCTTTTTAGTTCAGTTTTTTTTAAATAGCATTGGTTTTCCAGGACAGGGAGAGAGGCTGTACCTCATGGACCATAATTCATGAGGTTTACTATTACTAAACTCTGACCCCAAGCAGCAGAGACAGCATAAACAGCTTCTTTACGTGCAAAGTCAAAGGTTGACGCGCATCAAGGCACAGCAAAAGGTCCTGCAGCGCGTTGTGAGCAGCACGTCCGAGCAGCTGAAGCAAGGCATCATGAGCTTCTGAGCATCTGAAGTGTGTGACTAGCTTTAGAAGTAGCAGCTGGTGAAGTTGAAAAAATTTAACTTTTTCTGCTCACGTGCCACATCAACCAATCAGAGAAGCTGATCTGGGTGACAGACACAGCACTGCTCATGCAGATCGCTATGATCATTCCTCTGAAACAATTTACCTGCTAAATTAACTTTTGGGGTTTTGAATAGCATTGCAACAAAGTTAAAATGTCAAATAAATGCATGATATTGCCACAAAATAGTTTGTTGCATTTTGCTTTATTTTTATTGGATGTTGTCTTTCATTTTGTGTAATATGGGTCCTTTAATCTGTATGTGTCAAATGTCCTTAAATGATCACTAAATCATGTAAGAACAAAGGTCCAGTAATAATGAATCAGATTTGATGTCCTCTTGTTTTCCTCATCTTGCATTATGTTGGTATGTCACATTCTATTTATTTATCCATCTTTAAGGGATCAAAATAAATACAAGGAAGCAGCCAACCTGCTAAATGATGCTCTGGCCATCAGAGAGAAGACTCTAGGCAGAGACCACCCAGCTGTAAGTATATACATGCCTCGCTTAAAATAGTAAATAGCATTTGTTTTGCGATCGTCTTCATAAAAACACTTTTAAACAGCCATGTATGTCGGGGAAACCCTTTTGGAGAAGAATCACTTGATGGAAAATAAACAGAATGATTCACCTCAGATGTTTTAACAGAAACCAACATAAATTGATCAGGCTCACATGATAACAGAAGACAGTTCATCACTGGAAACTTAAAGGAGACAGTTTTCTGCTGCATTAGTGAATACAAGAAACTTTTCAAGTAAATTAAAGAGAAACCTTTCTTTGTATTTAATAAAAGCTCAATTGCCTCATTGCTCATTTCCCCTGAGTTAACAGCATCTCCTCCCCATTCCATCATTTTAAATAGAGAAAGTACAAAGATTTACATCTCTGAATCTTTTCCAATAAATCCTGGGAATATAGACTTCTGTCACACCTTTGTTCCCACTGACAGATTAGGTCCTGTGTTTGCAGGTTCAAAGGTGTTTTATGATAAAATACCCACAGTCATTGAGGAAACACAAAACCTGTTTTAGGCAGATGTGGAACATCTGTGACTTACTACAGAATTACATCATAAAGCTAAACTATTAAATAAACACCTTTAGTTCAGCTTCCGCTAAAGAGTTTAATTCAGAACAATTACTAAACCAAAGTGACTTACACGAGATGCATGGGTTCCAGAGTCATAAAAGAGGTAATCCAAAAAAGACAAAATTTTATTCAAGCAAAACTGTGCCCAAACTGACTGACTGCTTACAATGTCATGCAATGCAGACGTGCACAGCGCCCCCCTACCGAACAAGATGGGTAGCTCGGTCAGCAAGGACCTGAGGAAGAGTGGCTGCTGATGTCACTCTGCTGCATCCGCCGCTCAGAATGCTTTTTCGTTTTCGAGTTATGGACAGTATTTAGCTGGCAGACCACGAAAACGAAAAAGCAATGTCCGCTGTGTTTTCTCTTTGATTATGGCATAAAATGTGCAGTCTTAAAGAAGAAAATGCAAATGCAAACAGGATAATTAATTACTAATTTCATTTATGAGTCAAGTAATTCAGCCACATTCTTAAAATGAAAAGGCATTTTTGGAACTGCTTTTTCATTTTCAAATTTTACATTTCAAACAGAATTTCAGTATGTATTTGCTTGGTTACATTTTGAAAAATCTCAAATGTCTTTTTCTTTTTCATTTTAATTAAGTAAAATGATGAGTGGTGTTAAAGAAGAAAATGAAAATGCAAACAGGATTATTGATTACTAATTTCATTTATGAGTCGAACAATGCAGCCACATTCTTAAAATGAAAAAGCCTTTCTGAAAATGCTTTTTCATTTGAAATATGGTAACAATTTGCTTCCATAGCTATCAAGCACAGACTGGAAACACAGGTCAAGACAGCTCTATGGTGTTCTTGCAGTTTTCCCTCAAAGCCACCCTTCACATTGGTCATATATGGATAACATTAAAACACTATCCCATATTGAATTCATATTTTCAGGTTATTAACTCTATAAGTGTGATTTTTTAATTTTTTTTATTTATTTATTTATTTTTTATATGCACATGAATGATCCATGGATAGATGTCCTGTTTGTACATTTCTAAGGAAGCATTAGTAGCTTGACTAACTATGTTAACCACAGCAGGCCAGTGTATTTCCTGTTGGACCCCCATCATCTTCAGTTTGGGAAGCTGAGTAAGCCCCACTCTCACTCTTCAAACCTCAATCTGCCTCGATTTTTCTTTTTCTTGATGTTGATTGTTTTTTTTTCTTTGATCAAAAGATTTTTGTTGTATCAACCGATTTATTATGAAAGATACTTCCTGTTTCTGTTTACCAGTATTTCAATGTCCTACATTTAAGCTAAATTAAATCGCTTTTCATTGAAAGTAAGAATAGACTAATTAGTGTTTAGTGGACGATTTCATTCACCAGTTTTTGCCAAACATCAGCCTGCTAAAACTCATTTTAGATTATTCTGTTTCCTCTTTAAGGAAGATGTTAACGCTGCATTTCAGTTTTTGGTTCTATATAATTCAGATTTTACGGACTTTAATTTGATGTACAAGACACCTTATTGAAGAAAAAAAATGCAGGTTGTGATGTTATATATTTACTCTTTTCATGATTTGTGTTCTTGATTAAAGTAAGGAAAAAACATCAAAGAACCTTTGAAATGCAGTCATTCATCATCTGCTCTCTACCTCCTCTCTCCTTGTATCAGTTCCTACAGCCATCTCACCCCTCCTCTTTCCCTCTTTTCATTCCTCATTAGGGATGGGAATCGAAAACCGGTTCCTGTTCAGAACCGGTTCCGTATTTTCCGATTCCATGGCATCGTTTGGCAGCTCGCTGAACGATTCTTTTTTCGATTCCCGCAGCACCAGAGCCTAGAGCGCCGGCTCTGGGGAGCACGACTTACGTCACGTTTTTACGTACGTTACGTAAGTTACGTAAGTTACGCAAGTTACGCAAGTTGGAAGAACTATTCGAGGAGGAAGACAACGAGCTGCGGTCACTTTGTGAATCAAAGCCCCGTCTTTCCTTAGCCCAGAGGGTAGATCAGGAAATCCAGCTCTATAAAAGCTTGCCCTCCATCCCCTGCAGGGATAGCGCCACACTGTGGTGCTGGAACAAGCAAGATACACTGCCCTTGCTATCTGGACTGGCTGAAAACTACCTCTGTGTGCAGGCTTCCTCCACCCCATCTGAGAGGGTGTCCTCCATGGCTGGAGACACCATAAGCCCTGAAAGATCCCGTATCCTTCCAGAAAAAGCAGATATGCTCATCTTTCTGCAAAATAACTGTTAATTTTCCCTACTACTGTTTTATAATTAGTATTTTTTGTTATTTAAAATAGGTTATTATCCCATCATTTGTTATTAGACATTGTTGGTTATTAAGTTTGTTCTTGTATTAATTTTTCATTTAAACACAGATGTTACTCCAGTTTCACATTTCCTGTGGACATCTTGATCTTGTTGATTTTGTAAGATTGTGCAATAGTTAAGTAAACACAGTTGATGCTGATAATCAAACTGTTTGTTCTCCTTTTTTCCCCAAATTGGAATCGAAAAAAGAATCGATAAAGAATCGAATCGTTTCATAGAATCGAAAAGGGAATCGGAATCGTGAAAATCTTTTCAATTCCCAACCCTATTCCTCATAGTCTAGTCTGTTCAATGATCGTCACCGTACATTTTAACTTTAATAAGCACTTACCTATAGGGCACTCTGCAGCTTCTGTCATTGAGTGAACACATTGGCTTTTAATCTGCTGGATCCAGATCTTATAACAGGTCACCGTAATCACATTCTGATGAAATAATTTAGGATGCACAAGTCAAATCAGTAACATTACACTGGTGTCGTGGAGATTGTGTCGCACGACTGTTAATGGAGGAACTTGAACAAAAAATTTGAATTAAAATGATCTGTGTTTTGTGTCGTCGTTAGGTGGCGGCCACCCTCAATAACCTGGCTGTCTTATATGGGAAGAGAGGAAAGTACAAGGAGGCAGAACCTCTCTGCAAGAGAGCGCTGGAGATCAGAGAAAAGGTAAGAATTCACCAGACGTTTGTTTGGTTTGAATGGATTCAGCCACAAGAAAATGGTAAAAATTATAATTTATTTATTTTTTTTTTCATCAGAATGCTGACTATTAAATATTTAGATGTGTTTGCAGTCCAATGTGCCAGTTAACGCCGAATAGCTTGTGAGCCTTAGAGCTGTTGAATGTTACACCAGTCAGCAGGATTTGGACCTTAGCTCATTTTTTTTTTTGTTTCAAAGATGTTTTTCTGACTGTATATTGTATCAGGTTAGTTTAGTGTAGTCTTGAAAAATGTTTTGTTTGTTCTTTCTTTCTCCATCGTCTTGTATCCGAGCTAAAGAGGAGTTTAGTTACTGCTGGACATCCAAAATATTTTGTTTTGCTGTCAGATTTTAAAGTTTCTCATCAGAGCATAGTTTGGTGCTCTTAGTTCTGCTCATAAACATTCAGCATGAGCTCAGTTCTCAAGCAGCACTATAGGAGTTCAGGGGTAAAGAGGGGAGGCAATGCTCACGGGATTTAGTCCTAAAAACAACTGTCACAGGTTCAATTTTGACCTTTTGACCTCTGCTACATTTTTTTCACCCTTAAATCAAATACAGGCTACTAGTACAAAAAATAAAAACAACAAAACTATTTAAGATCAATTCTATGTTGATATATATTCCTAATAAATTCCTTAGATGCTTCAGATCCACTATTTGGGTGACAGAGACTGAAGTAATGTTTGCCTACAGTGGGTTGCGAGTAATCAGATTAATCGTGATTAATCGATTATTGAAATAATCGTCAACTAATTTAGTAATTAATTAATTGTTAACTGGATTGTAGACAAGTTAAAACATACTTTTAGCTGACAGGGCAACCCACTTAAAGCAGTTATTATACCATAATAGTTTAAAAGCAGTGGCGGCTGGTGAAAAATATTTTTGGTGGGGCTGATATAGCCTAGTGTATGTCTCCAACTAATCCGGAATAAGAATTCAAATAAACAATTGCACAATACATACAATTTAACTTTAATATATAATAACAGTAACAGTGATGATTTGGGTCACTGTGACGGGGTTCTTTGGGCTCCAAGAATCCAGGCTCAGTCGGGTTACCGGTGTTGGTGATTTATTGTGCTCAAAAACTCAAAACAGGGTGCAAAAGAAACTAAACATATAGAAGATACTCTGGGCCTCAGCCTCCCTCCAGTTACCAGCAATGTAACAAAGAAACAGAAAACAGAAATGGCCGCTCTTCTTCCCACAGCCCTCATTAAATAGTTTAAGTCCCTACCCTCAGGCTCTCTTATTTCTGATTTCTTCTCATAAATCAGTTTTGTCCATATATTACCTCCACAAACAATTGATGTACAAAAACAAACAAATAATTTTTACAACTTAATTCTTTTACACAGATTCATTGACTTATTCAATTACACCAAACTGGGTTTGAACCCAGTAAAGACGCAGCCAGACTGAAGATGACAAGTCTACGTAGCACACACACACACACACACACCCACACACACACACACACACACACACACGGCTAACCCCACTGAAATATTAAGTGTGCACCCTCAATACGCCAGCAGGTAACCAGGAACAGCTTGTGTGTTTTAAGTTAATGGAGCTACTGGGCTCAGCGCGAGCGGATTGGTCCTCACAAGCACAGTATAACAGGAATGTGTGTGTGGCACGCAAAGTTTTAAGCGACGAGGTGGATTCGTCGCAGTCACAATAACCATGACAGGAAATTTTCATATCCTACAACAGGGATGTTCTTCTGGCAAACGGGTAGATAAATAAGGATCTCACCGATTTTGGTGGAAGCTGCATCTCGGTCGTTACATTCGCCATCTTCCCTCTAATTGTCTGCACCTGCGCATTGGGTGCAGAAGCCTGTTAAAGCGCAGTATTTTCAGCGCCCCAATACCATAAAGTTCTGAGACGCTGATTGGCCATTAAATTCACCTAGCAATAGTACATGATTGACAGATTCTCTGCAAATGTGGGTCTGTCTGATCAGCGCCCCAAGACAGAGACTGTAGGAGTCTGTCTGTGGAAATCCACAAATGAATGACAGTAGATAGGGAAATGTAGTTTATATAATTTGTTTTGCTTATAGGTACACACTCTAGAGAGTAAAACTGACATTTACAGGTGCTGGTCATAAAATTAGAATATCATGAAAAAGTAGATTGATTTCAGTAATTCCATTTAAAAAGTGAAACTTGTATATTATATTCATACATTACATACAAACTCATATATTTCAGATGTTTATTTTGTTTAATTTTGATGATTACAAATGACAACAAATGAAAATCTCAAATTCATCATATCAGAAAATTAGAATATTACTGAAGACCAATAAAAACAAAGGATTTATAGAAATGTTGGCCAACTGAAAAGTATGAACATGAAAAGTATGAGCATGTACAGCACTCAGTATTTAGTTGGGCCTCCTTTGGCCTGTATTACTGCAGCAATGCGGCGTGGCATGGAGTCGATCAGTCTGTGGCACTGCTCAGGTGTTATGATAGCCCAGGTTGCTCTAATAGTGGCTTTTAGCTCTTCTGAATTGTTGGGTCTGGTGTATTGCATCTTCTTCTTCACAATACCCCATAGATTTTCTATGGGGTTAAGGTCAGGAGAGTTTTCTGGCCAATTAAGAACAGGGATACCATGGTCCTTCAACCAGGTACTGGTAGCTTTGGCACTGTGTGCAGGTGCCAAGTCCTGTTGGAAAATGAAATCTGCATCTCCAAAAAGTTGGTCAGCTGCAGGAAGCATGAAGTGCTCTAAAACTTCCTGGTATGTGGCTGCGTTGACCCTGGACCTCAGAAAACACAATGGACCAACACCAGCAGATGATATGGCACCCCAAACCATCACTGACTGTGGAAACTTTACACTGGACTTCAAGCAACGTGGATGAAGTGCCTCTCTTCTTTTCCTCCAGACTCTGGGACCTTGATTTCCAAAGGAAATGCAAAATTTACTTTCATCAGAGAACATGACTTTGGACCACTCACCAGCAGTCCAGTCCTGTTTCTCTTTAGCCCAGGCAAGACGCTTCTGACGCTGTCTGTGGTTCAAGAGTGGCTTGACACAAGGAATGCGACAGCAGAAACCCATGTCTTTCATACGTCTGTGTGTGGTGGTTCTTGAAGCACTCACTCTAGCTGCAGTCCACTCTTTGTGAATCTCCCCCACATTTTTGAATGGGTTTTGTTTCACAATCCTCTCCAGGGTGCGGTTATCTCTCTTGCTTGTACACTTTTTTCGACCACATCTTTTCCTTCCCTTCGCCTCTCTATTAATGTGCTTGGACACTGAGCTCTGTGAACAGCCAGCCTCTTTAGCGATGACCTTTTGTGTCTTGCCCTCCTTGTGCAAGGTGTCGATGGTCGTCTTTTGGACAACTGTCAAGTCAGCAGTCTTCCCCATGATTGTGTAGCCTATAGAACTAGACTGAAAGACCATTTAAAGGCTTTTGCAGGTGGTTTGAGTTAATTAGCTGATTAGAGTGTGGCACCAGGGGCCATCAATTTTGAACCTTTTCACAATATTCTAATTTTCTGATATGATGAATTTGAGATTTTCATTTGTTGTCATTTGTAATCATCAAAATTAAACAAAATAAACATCTGAAATATATGAGTTTGTATGTAATGTATGAATATAATATACAAGTTTCACTTTTTAAATGGAATTACTGAAATCAATCTACTTTTTCATGATATTCTAATTTTATGACCAGCACCTGTATGAGTTAATTTCTAAAAATATATTTTACGTTTCTCTCTTCTTATCAGGGAGGGCGGTGCCCCAGCGCCCCCTATGGGCCGGCCGCCACTGTTTAAAAGAATGTAAACATTTTGCATTTAAGATAAAAAACATTTTCGTCTGTTAATGCGCTCTATCCAGAACTCAAGTGGAAAAGTTAAAGTTTCAACAGGTTTACTTTTGTAAAAATTCTTCTTTAAGGAACCTTTTGCTATTTGATTATTTATTTATTAATCAAAAAAATAATCCAAGGATTAAACAATATTGCAAAAAAAAAACATTTTTTGCTGCAGCCAGAATCTGAACCATAAGCTCCCACAGTTGGCAGCTTTAGGTTTTTTTTGCTGATTTGATCAGCCATTAAAGGTTTTGTTTCTGCTGCCTACCTCTTCTGCTGTTTCATTTTACTGTTTTCCATCTGTCACATCCTTCTAGTTGCCTTTACGATTTCTTTGATTCTTAACCCTAATGACCCGGTCAGCTATGTTGGTCATCCTCACTCAGAAAACTGGTTCTCCAAAGACCCCAGCAGTCTTTAATGATCCGCAGTAGGGGCCATGGAGATTTCTTACTTTCTAGAGCTTTTACCTGCTGAAAGAGGTTTCTACCAATTATATGTTTTACAGAATTCAGTATAAGAGCAACATTAAAAATATTTTTCTTCCACCAGCTGCCTAAGATTGGTCATTACCTGTTTACACTGGGAGCAGAAACCACGTGTTACCATGAACAGGGTTTCCCTGCTGTTAATAAAACACCAAAGGATAGTGGGTTGATGTTTTATTTTTTGTTGTTTTTTTTTTTTTAAACATAAATCAAACCAGCCTTTCGTGTCATTATTTGAATTCCATTATAAAGACTTATTAGCTCAAAGGTATAGAGGACCACCTTTTATTTCCGGGTGGATCATCTAAATAAGTGGTCATCTAAATAATTGTCAATCATTCTGGTTATATGTTTACGTAAAGCTGTCCTACATGCTCGTCCCGTTAGCCATATTTTTCTGTGCATACGCACTTTCAGGCATATATCTCTATGATGGATGTTGGAGGATATTAAACCTCCCAAAAAATACAATTTAAGCGATAATTAATCAGGAGAGATTGAAACACTTCTTTCCACTTTGTGTTTTTTATGTTTTAAATGTTGCTGTAAAGGAGATGTCTTTGAGTCCAAACCCTTGAATTATGGTTCTAATCCCCCTGTGATCTTTGTTAGGTCTTGGGCAAGGACCACCCGGATGTAGCCAAGCAGCTGAACAACCTCGCCCTGTTGTGCCAGAACCAGGGCAAGTATGAGGAGGTGGAGTATTACTACATGAGAGCGCTGGAGATCTACCAGACCAAACTAGGACCAGATGACCCCAATGTGGCCAAAACCAAGAACAACCTGGTGAGGACCAGTGAAGCTGTTTGAAGGGAAAAACTCCAAATCATAAAATACTCTTATCTCAAGACTAATAGTGTGTTCACACCGTACACGTTTTGGGCATCAAAAACACAGAAATTTGGACGCTGGATCAAATGCTGGTCAGGTTTCTTTGAAACCTCGGCTCTCTGGAAGCTCGGCGCTCTGGTTGTTTACCTGCTCTGTTCTGTTGCTACAAGCTAGAGAGCAGCTTGGCTTTAATTAATTAATGTTTTGGAAAAATAGTTTTAACACATTTTTAAGTGTTACACTTCACTTTAAAACATTTTCTGTGCAGTCAGTTAATCAGGATTATGATCCTTCTAAAACATCCAGCATATCAGCTGCACACTGAAAGCTCTCTGCAGCAGCCAGTTTGTGTTCCAGGGGATGGAAGTGAATATAAATAGTTTTAAAGGAAAAGTCCGGTCAGCGAGGAATAATCAGTGGATCATTATCTATTCCTAAAACTAATACGTTTGCAGTGATCTAATTATGAACAATAATTTTCGTCAAGATCACTGGTTCTGGGAGCGGCCATTTTTGCCCAAATGTACTAACACCTCCCTCCTGACGTCTTCCAGCAGTGACGTCGCATAGTAAGCCTAGCGCCATTCTCCCCGCTTTACAAGCAAAATCAATGGGAGCTACTAGACACATCTGCAACAACAATTAGTTAAGATTTCCAGAGGACTTCACCATTGAAATTCGCGAGAGCTATAGTTAAACTGACAATGCCCACGGGCATGGCAGTTGGATGTTGTAATACATCCAACTGCCATGTAAAAGTGGAAAAAAAAAAAGATGAGTTCTTTCACCTTTCCGATTCATGATCCTACAAGGACGGGTTCATCGTTGGATTGTCAACTTGAATAGGGAGGATTTGCCATTGAACTTCTAGCCAGAGGAAAAAACACCTAATATGATGACTTAGATAATATAATAGCACATTATGGCAAACACCAGATACAGCACTAGGACTTGATCAACAGCCAATACCGCACCGTGACGTCACAAACCGGTAGGTGGCAGTAGCGTTCTTTGACAAACATGGATGCCTCCAGTAAAGCACATTCAAATGAAAATTACTCTTATTTAAAACACTTGAACACATTGAACAATATGTAATTATTTAATTTTTAAAGTACTTTCAGAAGTTTTAGTTCTGAATATGACTGGACTTTTCCTTTTAAAGGTTTTTGGTAAAAAAATAAAATAAAATACAAGCTCTGGAATATCCAATCAAATATTTTTAGTAAATTTGGGTATTTATAAAGTGTTTTGCCATAGGTCATTAAAAAAACAATTGATTTTCTGGCTTATCCCAACTTTTTTTAAACCTTTGGAGTTGAAATCCTTAATATCTATTTATTTTTCACATGCAGACAGCTTTACACAAGCGATAACAGCTAGCATGTACTGTCTGTCCCTCTTTTCTGATTGGTTGACGACACGTTGTCTTAAAGCAAAAGTTCTATTTTTTTAACTCCAGTAGCTCAGGTGGCAGAACGCTTAAATGCGCCGCTCCCAATGCTCAGACGTGCCTCTGGACCTCTTGACACGGTCGTCATTAGACAAATCAGATGCTTTGATGCCCAAAACGCGTTGAGTGTGAACACACCTTAAGTCCTTACTTGGGCCTAGATTTCTGTTTTTAGATTGTAAAGCTGATCTAATTTTTGTTTGTTTTTGTGTTGGTTAGGCTTCCTGTTACCTTAAGCAGGGCAAATTCAAGCAAGCAGAGACTCTGTATAAAGAAATCCTCACCCGCGCTCATGAGAGAGAGTTCGGTTCTGTTGATGGTAAGACTTCAAATCTGGTGAAATCATTGCTAACAGAAATATACATCTATAATAAACTATTGATCACAAACCAATCAGTTGATCGTTTTTTTCAGTTTTTTTGGGTTATCACTGATCACAACTGGTCCATTTGTTGATTTCCCAGGTTGTCTGTAATGAACATGCTTGGTCTGCTAGTTAGCTTTAATCAGGTTTCTGTTGCAATGGGGAAAACTGAAACTGTTGACCTGCTCTAGTTAGATTGCCTTTATCTGAAGTCATCAGGACTGATACTTTCTTCACAGATGAAAACAAACCAATCTGGATGCATGCTGAGGAGAGAGAGGAGCAAAGCAAGGTAAGTCTGCAAACAGTGTCGTTTTTGACAGCCATCTTAGATTTAGTCTTAGTCTTCAGGACGAAAATTATTATTATTTTTAGTCGCATTTTGGTCATTACGATATGTGATAGTTTTAGTCAGTTTTATTCGACTAAAACTTAAAAAGGTTTTAGCCTAGTTTTTCAGTTTTAAGTTACAATTTTGACTACAAGATTCTTTACCACACTGACAGCTCTTGCCTAGATACTACAATTGCTGGCTATAGAATGCTATAGAATTGCTGTTGGGCAGAAAACTAAACTAAATTAATTGTTTTATGTATTAATGCCCTACTTTACACAAAAGAGTCTCACAAAAGTTGTGAAAATAGAAGATCTAGTTCAACATTTCGTTAATATGGCAACACATTGGTTAATATGACAGACAGACAAGCTATCAAAATGTACAATAAAGGAATGGTTTTAGACATACAAGGTTTCCATCGTAAAGCAAACACTTCCTGTTCTTCTATGAATTATTATTGGTTACACACCGATCAATAAAATCTTCATTGCTCCAAAAAAGCAACCAAAAAAAACATTCTTCTGTCTATTTTGGCAATTTAGGCTTTATTTCTAAGAATTTGCCCCTTAGTTTCCGCTGCTCAGGGGTCAAAGTAGATTTAAATTCAAAGGGGTCTGACATAAAAAAAAATATACAGAGAGAACCTGCACAAGCCTTATAATGCCATGGCCTTCTAGACCTAAACTGAATGAAAATGCTAACTAAAATGTTGAAATATTCAAAGGAAACAGATTAAATGTTTTAATGACAATTCAAGGAAACATTTACATCATATTTGAATAGATAGAAATGAGACCAAAGAGGGAGAAATATTCAAAGATCTATGTACCTTTTCTCCTGGCTCTTTATGAGAAAATAAACAAAATGCAATGAAAGATTTGCTTTGGATATAAGGGTTTCCTTTTGGTAGAAATTGAAGAATGTTTAGTATATCCTCTTGTTAGCTAGAAGAAATAAAATATTGATCGTTGTACAAAGGTATTTTTTACCCTTGGCAGAGGATGATCAGCCACATAGTTTATTAAGTAGTGAGAGCAGGAAGAGGAGCGAACATCAGTGTGGAGCATAAAGCGCTGACTCATATCTGCACCAGCACAGCTGCAAGGTCAGAGTTTGTCAGAGTTCAGCACGCTGTACAAAACGATTCCAACTTCTTTTCGCCGCTGCTGCCATGATCCATCTATGGTCATGCAGAATGTGCACGGCTGCACGTCAGGTGGTGGGCGTGGTTGGTTAGCACTCATTAGTTAATGCTAACTAATGAGTGTTTGCATTATATGACTCATCCATTTACACTAGTTTTCACTAGATGTGGATGGCGCCAATGATCCGCATTGGATGGCGCACATGACGGGAAATAAGTATTTATAAACATTAAACCGAAGCGAAGAGTAACGAGTAACGTTTTTGTTTTTTGTTTTTTTAAATATAAGGAATAGAAAGTAGAGATACTTGTGTGAAAATGTAATGAGTAGAAGTCAGAAGTAAGAAGGAAAATAAATAATGGAGTAAAGTATAGATACCTAAAAAGTGTACTTAAGTACATTAACGAAGTATTTATACTTCTTTACTTGACATTTCTGCCAGCTATGCATAAACTTAACCTAAACTCAACTGACATCGTAATCCTAAACCAAAACAGAAGTGAGGACCAGCAAAATGACCTCACTTTGGCTCAAAAGGTCTTAGATTTGATGTTGAATTTAGAAACATGGTTCTCACTCTGATAGCAAAACAGGAACAACCACAACCTGAGTTTTAGGTTCAGACCTACAAGTCAAAGGGTTAATTATTGAAATAATGAAAAATCCTGCTTTATTGTCGGTCTTGAGGGAAAAGCTTCTCCTTTTAAAGAACAATTTAGAAAATGTGTGCATTTCTGTTTCTTCTTTTTCTTCCCAGGGAAAGCAGAAGGACAGTTCACCATTTGGAGAATATGGAGGCTGGTACAAAGCATGTAAAGTTGATAGGTACGTTTTTTTCTTTTATTTTTCGAAGATAAATTAGCCTGATTTATGATACAATCTGGTTTTCTTTTAATATTTTAGTTTCATTCTACCTGACAAAGCTCTCTTTTAGGGCTGAAATAATTAATCGGATTACTAATGATTAATCGTTTATTAAATGATCGTCAATTCATTTAGTAATCGAATAATTATTAACTGGAGTATAAAGAATGTAGTACATGCCTTTAGCTGACAGAGCGACCCACTAAGAGGAGTAATTATACCTATATTGTTAAAAAAAAAACATTTTTGCATTTAAGATAAAAAACTTTTTCATTTGTAAGTTTCTTCTATCCAGGACTCCTCAAGTGGCAAAGTTATAGTTTCTCCTTCCTTAAGTCTCCTTTAAGGATCCTTTTGCTATCAGATTATTAATCAATTAACAAAAAGAAATAAATCGACAGATTAATCGATTTGCAAAATAATCGTTAGTTGTAGCCCTAATCTCTTTAAATGACCAATGTTCTTTAGAACATTTTAGTGAGGTACCTGGTTTAAAACTGCATTATTTGTATCATATCGATCAATAAAGACTCTGAAACATGATTTTCCTCTCACTGTTATTCAGCCCCACCGTTACCACAACCCTGAAAAACCTTGGTGCCCTCTACAAGCGGCAGGGAAAGTTTGAAGCTGCTGAGACCCTGGAGGAGGCAGCCATGCGGTCTAGGAAGCAGGTGGGTTGTTTTTTTTTTTTTTAAAGATGAGATGAAACTAAACCTGTTGTAGCTGCTAAACCTACATTATAAAACCAAAATTAGAGATATCAGTTTAAAAGCATTGTTTCTCTGTGAACTGTTGTTAAATAGAGACCTGAATGCAAAAGGCAATTACCGTACTGACCCCAATATAGGACGACCCTGATTAGAAGACGACCACCTCTTTCCAGGACCAGTTTTTAAGAACTAAACAAAAAGACCTAAAAAAAGGACTATTTAATAAATGATTTTATATGCCAGTGCTTAATATTTAATTTCAATAATATTGCATTGAAAGATTTGTTCAATTACAATAAAAAGTAAAAAAAAAAACCCACAGTAATGACAAATTAAACTGAAATCTTCAGCTTCAACTCGAATACAATCTGAACTTTGCTCACTGAAAAGCTCAAATATCTGTATGAGGCTTTTCCTCACCGATGTCGTCTGGCTCATGATTGCTTTGATTCCTACTCTCTCCCTGCTGCTCTGCTATTTTTTGATAAGCTTTTCTTTTGCTGTTTACCTTTTCCGGTGTTTTTGAACATGTCCTCTTCTGACATTACACTCTGTAATGAAGTATTTTTCACCTGGTTTAATTTCCTAAAAAATCTTCTTTAAAGAATCTTTGGCTATCCGATTATTAATGGATTATTCAAAAAAATAATCAGCAGATGAATCGATTTGCAAAATAATCATTAGTTGCAGCCCTGATTTAGAGACAAACTTCATTGCTTTCAGGCTGCTTTGGGGGATGTTATGTTAATGACTAATATGTAAAGTGGTCATGATTGTAAAGAGGGAGAGAAATTAAACATGGGCAAACAAAAATCTAAATATTGTGGCTTTGATATACTTGACCTTTTTTCTAAAGTCTTAAACTAAGATCAAGTGTCAACCAATCAGTTGTCTGAGAGTACATAATCAGTTAATAAAATCTAAATATGTATATTTTATTATCAGTGTAAAGACATCTGTTCTAGGAAAACCTCTGAGCTTTTTTAGAGCAACATACTGTAAGTGAACACTCCCCAATAAAGAAAGAAACATGACAGACAAGGCTAAAGTTTTGGAGAACTAGTTAGGAGAAGTAGTTAGAATATAAAACAATATTTTAAACTTTAAAACTTTTCATGGATAGCTGTTATATTATCTGAAAGTGTGGAAAGAGGGGATCGGAGAAAGCTTTCTTTAAAGGAGCAAACAAGAGGCCCATGGCAACGACAGAGGAGATGCTAAGATCTCTGGAGGGAGAATCTGTTGACAGAGCAACAAAACTTGATGGAAGACGTGACGTAAATAAGCCATTGTTAAAAGAAAGAGATCATGTATTCCTATTTGCAGCTTGTCAGGATCCTCGTAGAATCAGGGCCAGGCGGGCATATACCTTTAGGCAATACTAGGCAGTTGCCTAGGGACCCCATAAAACTCTGTTTAATATGTTTGTATATAACAGTTGTATGTTTAATACAACTATTCCTTATTTGTGCACATTAATTATGTTTTTGATAAAACTACTTTCACCCCCCACCCCTTCAGTGTCCACCACATTGGATCAGAAAGGTCCAAACAGACGGCAGAAAACCATTTGAAAACAATGCGTAGAGCAGTGTTGCCAACTTAGCGCTTTTATCAACTTTTCAGAGTCTTCTAGCACTTTTATTTCAAAAAAGCCCCTAGTGCCAAATCTAGTGACTTTTTTCTGCCACTGGAGAATTTGGCAACAACATATAAAAGCACCAAACTCTGCTCTCCAGAGCAAGAAGATTGATCATGAAAAGTTAGCTGAATACAAACAATGAAGAGTGAAACGATAAGAAAAGGGACAAGAAGAGAGGGACAAAACCTAGAACAAATAATGTTTGTCTATTCTATTAAAGTTTCTGTATCTGTATAATGGGTCTGTTTTCTGTGGTGTCTTCTCAATTAAGAGGGCCTCTTGTCTGTCTTTGCCTAGGGCCCCAAATTTCTTAAATCCGTCCCTGATCAGGGCAAGACCAGTTGGTTGTTTACTTTCCGGAAATCTAATTATTTGAAGTTTTTGGTCCTTTTAAAAAGCTCTTTGAAAAATGGGTCCACATGTACAGCTTCCTTCAAAAAGCCATTTTTACTTTTTTTTTTTTTCTCTATCATATCATGGCTTGGATTCTTAGCGCCAACCTATAACAGATCCTAATGCGTGGAAAGGTTATTAATAAGCAACTGAATGTTGCTTATTACATTTAAAACTGTCTTTCTTTTAAAGTAATCTACAAAGACGCATGATCATATCTTCTAGGGTCTGGACAATGTGCACAAACAGCGGGTTGCCGAGGTTCTAAGTGAACCAGAGGCGCGAGAGAAGCAGCGCAGTCGAGAGAGTTTGACTTCAGATACCGTGAAGTATGAGAGCGGGCCGGACGGTGGCGAAGAAGTGAGTATGAGCGTGGAGTGGAACGGGGTAAGTACAGTACACAGCCCTCAGCGCTTCATACCATGGGTCTGTCAGCTATGCTTTAGTGACGATCATCCTCCATCTTTATGGACCAAATGCAGAGTAGCTAATGCAGTTCGGTTGAGATGTGTTAATTAGAGATGCACTGATCATTGATTTACTTTGTCTGATTTCCACACCACAATTTAGTAAAACTCGCCAAAAAATCTAATATCTATATTTAGATTCTCTACTGTAATTATAGAGAAGCCTCATAAAATTTTCTTTTATGTTTCAGTATTGATTGTTAATATAGGATGGATAGTAGTGTATTGCTAATACTTAAAGCATTAGACTTTCTGCTAATATTAGCAATCGGAAGGAATAGTAGTCAGCATTACTGATAAACAATACATTTTGTGTGTAATTCCTTGTAGAGTGAGTGCTTTACTAGTAAGCGTTGCTCAAAGAAATTTCAGCATCACATATTCTCGTGTTAATAATTAATTATTATCAGAATAAAACCTGATAAAACCTGGTAAAATGTTTCTGGCCTCCTTTTAAGAGCTAAAGTCTCCCTCTGTCTCATGCTGCCTGAACGAACAGCCTTCATTTCTCATTTGAACATTCAGTTTGCTTCATGAAACTCTTCCATCCTCCTGTCAATCCTAAACACCTCACTAATATTGAAATCCCTCCCGAACTAATTCAAACAGAACATCTTTGGGACTCGGATCAAAGTTCATCATCCATCTGGATGGATTTCCAGCAAGAGCATTCACCAGAGAGTCGACTTGTCTCCGTCTCTGTTGTATACGATTTTACTCCCTTAATCATTTTCAGTAGTTACACATACAAGTACTTAGTGGAACCTTATGGCAGCAACCATAAAGGTCTGCTGGTGAAAGCAAAGCTGTTGGGCATTGATGCCCAGAGCTAGATTGGCAAAACAGGAGAGAGAAGAAAAAGTCCACTTACCGGTAGTTAAGCTGAGTCGACTCGCATCTGGATAACTCGAACCCTTACGGTGATGATTTATTGACTCCACTTTTACTGTCGAGTAGTCGACTTGCAAAAATCACAACTCATGCCTCTTCCGGCATTGTTATTTCCAAACTGAGATCTAAAGTTTCCAGAGAATATCTTTCCTTTTTTTCAGTAATGTAAAATTGGAAACCTTGCATTAAATGGAGAAACATCTGTTACCTTGGAAACAATTTGTACCAGTTATATTATTGTCCATCTCATAACCAACGTTACATTAACCACCTTCAGATTTAAAGACATATTGGTTTTCAGTCTGACAGAGAAACAATCACTTCTTCTTCTTTTCATTCCTCTGATTAATTAATCCAACTCATAAGTCTTTTCTGGTTAACATGGGCTCTGTACTGTACTTCTGAGTTGATGTTCTCTGTTTGTCTGCCTGGTGCATTTGTTTGTTGTGCTGCTGCTTTGTGTGAAAATTGTGACTTCTCTGTCTATTTTCCTTTATTTTTTCACCTTCCCTACTGTAGAGTTTGTTTGCAGTCAGAGAAAGGAGAAAAAAAGGGCCAGAATGCCTGCTAGGCCAAAATAAAGTTGAAATCTAAAACTAAATGAGTGACTCTCGGATTCTTTTTTTTTTCTGCATATTCCTTGAACATTTTATCATTAAAACTGCTTAAACCAATCAAACTCAACATAGTTTCATTTAGATTTTTATACTGAATCGTGATACATTCATACATGTCTATGAATTTGTGGAATAACAAAACATTTTTATTCAGTATTTGATCATGCGCTGCTTTTTAGCATGAACCAGGGTAAAATTAGGTTAAACTTAAAAAGAAAAGATATTGAGTTGTTTTTCAAAATTAAACATGATTTTAATTAGCTGGAGATTAGCTAGAGATTACAATTTAACGCTAGGGAAGTTCTCAGTCATCCAGTGTCATAGACGTTCCAAAAAAATTAAAAACAATACACTGGACTTTGTTTCCAAGTTTGAAGACATTTCGCTTCCCATCCAGGAAGCTTTTCAATTCAAAATGTCAGAAATAGGGTTGTGTTTGAGGCTTTATTCAGTAGCCCAAGAAGCCTTGTTTTAACTTAGAAAACATGCAAATTTAACCGGACTAACGGGTCTGCCCATTTGGAATGGGGGTTGTTTGATTTCTTTATTAGCCTTTGTTACCCCATACCTGGGGTGTTGCAGGCTAACAAAGAGGGTGGGGGTTTTGATGATAGCGGGAAGGTATCAACTCAATTACTACCTACAATGCAGCGATTGAGTTGATTCTTTCCTGCTAACATCGCAACCTGCACCCCCTTATAGGGAACAATAGACCTCACTTTCAGCTAGGGCAACAATTCCCTTTAACGACCTCCCTTTCAGAGACATAGACAGGTATGGGGTATTGTAGGCTAACAAAGAAGCCAAACGACGCCCATTCCAAAGGGGTGGACCTGTTCTTCTGGTTCAATTTGCATGTTTTCTAAGCCAAAACAAGGCCTTGTTTTTGCCCCACTCTATAAAGCCTCAAACTCGACACAATCTTTGACATTTGAATTGAAAAAGCTTCTTGGATGGGAAGTGAAACGTCTTCAAACTTGGAAACAAAATCCAGTGGATTGTTTTTTTTTTTGTACTTTTTTGGAATTACATCTTAATGTTATGATGTTTTTTATATATTTTTTTTTTATTGGTAGACAATTTGGCTTTTATCCCTATAATTCAGTATTTGGGCTGAACAGTCTCTGGCTGCTCTCATCTTTTTTTCTTTCTCTTCTATACTTCTGGTTTGATTTAACAAAGCTTACACCAGTGGTGGATGAAGTATTCAACAGTAGTACAGTACTTGAGTAAAAGTACTGATACCCATAGTAAAATCTCTATCAACTACAAGTAAAATTTACTCAGTCAAACATCTACTGAAGTTAAAGTATTTAAGTATTCACGTTTGAAAATACTTAAGTATTCAAAAGTACATGCATTTTAAAATACTTTAGTATTCAAAAATACAAATTAAATTTTCAAAAATTTGTACATTTCTGTTTAATTTTCTGAGTAATTTTTAAAAAGCCACAAAAAAAAGGCAAAAACAGTAACTCTGATTTAAGAACTCATCCTACTGAACAAATTGGCCTCATGGCAACAACTAAAGTCTTGTTAAAATTTTTGAACTACAGATAATATCTATGTTGGGTTTCTCACATTTCTGGAATGTCATTAAATCTCTAAAACAGTGATGTCCTAGTGTAGCCCTGCTGTCTGCCATGTTGAAATTGGATTTCAAAAAAAGAAAAACAGCAACAGTGGATAACAGCAACAGTGGATAACAAAGCTAAGCTGAGCCAAAAGGAACAAGTAACGACCAGCTTCCTCACAATGTAGTGGAGTGAAACTTTTTAGTAACCCCCCCCCCCCCCCCCCCCCCCCCAAGTAAAGCAAAGATACTCAAAAAAGTACTTTAGTACAGTAATCAAGTAAATGTACTTTGTTACTTTCCACCACTGTCAATCCCTTATTTTTCCAGATTCAGACACAGAATCCAACACAGCAAACCTGTGAACAGCGGGTTTACAGGTTTGCTGTAACATGTAGAATGTAGACCTAATCTGAAAAATTTAATTAAATCATAACAACAACCTTAAAATGGATAAAACAGCACAATGAGCCGAGGTTCCTTCAGAACCCTCCTCTATGAGTGATCTGAGGCTCTTTTAAGTGGGAAATGTGTTCATCCAGAGTTGGACACAGCCCTTTTCTGTAAGTTTTCTTTTTGTTTTCATTAAGAGACAATAATAAATAACTAAGGAACAGTGACCTTGTTTTTTTTTAATAAATTCAGATAAAGAAATGTTTGATCTCTCCTATAAAGGAAACTGTGTCTGATTCATGGAAACTGTTTCATTGTTTATCTGTTCTGTCCGTGTGCTAAGCTGTTCCTTTTATCCTCTACCTGTCACTTTTTACATTTCTCTATTTCTCTCCTCTTTTTGCTCTGTCTGAACGGCAGGCTTAACTCCAGATGCCTTGTAATGGTTCTAAAAACTTGTCTTCTGCATGGCGGATGCCTCGTCTCGCCTCAACCCCTCCAGCTTTGCAGTTTTCTTCAGTTCTGACTCCAACCCCTCTTTTCCTGGAGGGATTCTTCACACTACGCTCAACCAATGATACTGTTTTCCAACCCCACCTAACCCCACTCAGCTCTGCAACTGTTGTGGGTGGCGGGGGAACCCATGTTATACACTCCCTTTTTGAGACATTGTTTGGTTCTCTAACACTGTTTAGGCTCTTCTAGTAGAGTTTTGCCGCTGAATTCTCAGTACATCCATAAACATGATTGTTCGGCTGTCAAGAAATTCCTTCATATTGAGCATACCTCTAAAGAAAAGGGAATGAGAAACACGCACTGATTTTGCTCATCATTCAGTTGCAGTGCCTTGCAAAAGTATTCATATTTCCAAAAGTTGTTCACATTTTCTAATGATTAAAAAATTTGATTTTATGTAAAAAAAAAAAAAAGATAATTAAACAAGCAGAAAGTTAATGCACAATTATGACAAACAGTACATGATTTTTAAACTTTAAAATAAATAAGTTGGAAACTTAAAGAAATCAGCACAACCTTCAGAAGTCACCACCATCCATAGTGAAACACGATGGTGGCAGCATCATTCTGTGTGTAAGCTGTTCTCCAGAACAGAACAAAATAGATGGGAAGATTAGGACGATTTGCAAAGCTCATAAAAAAAGGTTCAGTGAAAAACAATGCCGTTCTGAAATATGTGCTATATTGTGTTGGGTCATTGCATAAAATCCTTCAAAATACTTCAAGGGGTATGAATTATTTTGCATGGGACTGTATCTAATGAAGGGGCACATTGCAAAAGTTGTTAAAGCTCAACATAACGGTCAGATTGATGTTCTGATACACACGTCTTTTTAGGACATTTTGAGTATGTAAATACTGTTTTTGCTTTTGGGGCTAGATTTTAAAGGCTTCTAAATCAGTATAATATGGATTAACGTAGCAAATCTT